GCTCCCACAAATAGCACTACAGCATGTAAAAACATAAAGATAAGCTCTGGCGGACTTGGTTCTATGGTAGGTCTTAAAGGGTTAAATAGCCTGTGGCAAATATATTAGTGTTGCCTTCTCACTATACATGCTCTTAACTTTATGCAAGAGAAAATAAAGTATAAAAAAATGATATTTTTTGCAAAGAAACTCCGTCTTGTGGTTTGCTAGCTGGTGCTGCTGTACGTGCACCCGGATTTGCGACATACTTTACGGTAACTCAAAACAAAGACTGCACCCTCGGCACTTGCTGTTTACAGACTGCGTACTTTCTAGATGACCACAGGTCAGGTGGTATATTGTGATATAAAATAATTCATATCGTGATAAATATTTTTTCCATATCGCCCAGCACTACTCCACAACTCAACTGTTGTTTGTTGCACTCAGGAGAGGCCGAATAATCCTAAATTTAAAATATAACCATTGATTCTCAATCAAAGTTATAATTTTACTCCCCTGGAGCAGTCTGAGTTAATGATTGGTTTCCTTTTTGTGTTCAGGCCGATTCACTCGAAGCTGCTATTTTGGACCAAATTAAAATCTGGAAGCAGCGAGCTTTACTTCTAAAATCCGGGCTTCATGCCGCGACATCATTTTGGAGTATTATGAAGACATGTCATGGTGCTCCTCCACCGCTGAAAATTTCATGAACGACCTCTTTCAAGCCAGCGAGGAAACATGCTTCAGCCAAAAGAGGGGCGGAAACAAAATCCCCACCAGGGCCGCTCTCACCCCCACTAGAATCCAGTGAATAAAGAATTAGAATTACGTCTGACTGATTTAGATTTTCGGGCCTTCTTCTGAGAGGGCGGGGCTTGGTAACACCACCACAGGAAAGCATTGCTCCACCGGCCAGGTTGAAATATAAGGATCTGAAATGATGATGATGGAATGATGTGCTGGGAAGGCTCTGCATAAATGAGGCTACAGAGAAAGGAGCGTACCTGCCTGCATTGCTTCCAGCATCAGGAGCTCATTCTTCCCTCCACAGCAACAACTTCACTCACAGTAATGAGAGAATACAGCAGGAAACTGATTTGTCCCGTTGGGCTTTTAGCCGTCTTTAATCTTTAACGTGGATTTGATTTTCTTTGATCTTTCAGAAACGTTTTTATTGTGTAATAAAGCAGAAATCACAGGGATGTTTATGAGACCTTTAAATGAGTAATATTTCATGGCAGCATCACTAAAAACAACAAAAATAACTTTGCTTGAACCTGACAGGTGGTAGTCTGACAGTTTATTCCTCAGATTATATCTCGACACCTAAAGCTCCCTCAGTTATTTGCTGGTGAAGGTGTTATTTAGGAAACATTAGCAGTTTTATTAGGTGATGATTTGTTGAAACAAAGATGCAGCACAAATTTGAGACCGAGAGGAAAATGGCTGGTTGAGAGTAATCACTCACAGTCAGCAGTCTTTCGAGACGAGAGAAGAATATATAATGTTGCAAGCCCACAGGATTTGGAGCTGAGGAGAATAATAAACAGTCGAGCAAGCCGCGTGTAGTCCAGAAATATAAAGTCTTATATATATATCTAATATAAAAGAAGCAAGCAGGAGCTGCAAGTAGGGAGAAAAAAGTCAACGCCGATCCACAGACTGTATATAAAAGACAGATGTAGTCCACGTGATGTTGCTCGGTGTTTTACGACGTCTCGCTGTGAAGCCTCAAGCTGAGTCTTTTTGTGCCTTTGAAAAGGGGATCTGACAAGTAAGGCTTGCGTAAGCTTACGATGTAGCTAATGCAACAACTTAAAGCTGCACTCTTTCTAATGACTCTAATAAAAATACTGCAGTGCAGATTCAGGCCGACACCTTCCAAACTAGCAAGGTGTAAAGACTTTGATGGACCACAAAACATAAAACACTATAAATACAATAAACGCAAACAAAAAGAAAAACATTTCTGATTAAAACATGAAAGAACTTGACTCCACCAACCTAAGAAACTAAGCTAATTTCTTAGTTTCAGGTTGAGGGAAGGATTACATCAGTTTTCAGACGCTATCCGGGTCCAGGTCATGTGGGCAGCAGTCTTGCCTGAGATGCCCAGCATTGGAAATGCCTGAAACACCTCAGCTACGAGGTGTCCAGGAGGCGTCCTGGTTAGATGCCCAGTCTCAGGAGCTCTACTCTGAGTTCTTCCTGAATGACAGAGCTCCTCACCCCCGTCTTTAAGGGAGAGCGCAGGCACCCTTGTGAGGAAGTCCTTTTCCATCACTTGTATGTTCGATCTCGCTACACAGAGCTCATTGTTCATTGGTGAGGATAGGAATGTCATACCATGAATTGGGGGCTTGTCCGGGATTTGAACCCGGGACCTCTCGCACCCCTAGCTAGAATCACAGCCCTAGACTTTACCACAATAGAAGGTAAAACATCCACATTACTCTCTCCATCAGTGTCCCGCTGTGTCCTCGCCTCATTCATGAACACGACGCAGAGATTTACATTTTAAAAAGAGGCAGACGTCAGGCACTCGCATTTTTACTGTGAAACTGAGAAACTCTCTGCTTGCGATCTTTATTGTAAGTAGGGTAAAAAATAGCTGGTTTGGCAGCGGCGGTGAGGTTGTGACACCACACAGCACGTTAGAAGATGCTTTCCCCGCCGGGGCGCTCGCCCTCTGCATTAAAACAATACCTGGAGACTTCTGTCTCATTCACTGTGAAGATAACTTCCCTCCTCCAGAGTTTCTGAAATCTCACTGCAGCAGCTGAGACCTCTCCGAGCGACGAGGTGTCTGCACGTATTCGTGCATAAAAAGCCTCTTTTATCTGCATTTGTATGTATGAGGGTGTGTGCGTGCTGCAGGTTGGTTGAGGGTGGGTGGTGCGGTGAGAGCCAGGGGATGCTGGGATTGTTTTTGAGTGCGTTCTATACCTCTCCGCCACCGCTGAGCTATAAACGGTTTGATTTCTGACGCTGCTTCTTTTTTTTCCCTCAGTGTTTTATTATTCCACTCAGCAGTGTCGGCTGTAGGTGGAGAGGAATTCCCAAATAGGATTTCTGTGGCAGTGATTAGATTAGCTCTCAGGCGAGGTCATCAGTGCTGTTCTTTGTGTTATTGCTCATGGAGTTATCCGTGTCCAAAAACGAAATAGTAAAAGGTGAAGTCGGCCTCACTTTGCTCCTGAACATTTCTGCTGTGCAGGCTGTTGAACCTCTTCTCAGGCGGAAAATTAGATTAAATCAAAGGTTTGGATGTTTTTGCTCTGAAGTGAGATAAGATTTGGAATTTGAGGGAAGAACTTGGAAGGTTAGTCTTTAGCAGTGAGTTATTTGAGAGACATTTTCAGATTAAAAGCACCGTGATGTTGTCTGGTAGCTGTTTGTCCATGACCAGGTAAAACTGACTTCACTGGGGACACTGATGCTGGTGTTCCAGCAGTTTCCAGGTTACATTAGCCTTAAGCCTTTTTAGTTCCTGGGTTGTTCCTGAACATCCTAACCAAATTCCTCTCGCCTGAGGGTGACAATTTGCCCACATCTGGAAGCAGACCCAAAGTGGTGACATATGTGAATATTTATGTGCGGTCATTTAAATGGATGGCCTTTTAATCCTCAGTTATTCAGAAATATCTCCCAGAGACCCTCCCAGTCTGTGTAAATCTACAAGGAGTTCCTCAGAGTTTCCCGTTGTTCACAGTGTTGGTCAGTCCAGTGAGTGCTGTCAAATCTTGTTTATGCTGCAAAGAGAAACTAGCACCTGTAGTCGATCATGAACACTAACGGGAAGCTATTAGGCCTCCGCCCTTTCAAGTTAAAAGATATAATTTCAGTACCACTTATAAAAAGCTGTGTATATATTTGACCCTGTGTGGATTCGAGAAAATGAATTAAGTTGTGCACCCAGATTTGTTTTCATAGTCTTTAATGGTTTGTGCTGTTAAAATCCCAAAATGACCATGACATTCATGCCTGTGATGAGTGATGTAAACTTCTGTCCACAGCTGGATGTGTGCCTTGTTCTTCCTCTGAGTCTCTCTAATCTCTGCCGTCAGGATCCGTGTGGCCGGGATCAAAGGTCTGCAGGGCGTGGTGAGGAAGACGGTGAACGACGAGCTGCAGGCCATCATCTGGGAGCCGCAGCACATGGACAAACTGATCCCATCCATGCTGTTCAACATGCAGGACAGTGAAGACCTGGACAGGTACGACACACGCCAAAGCTGCCACGCGCTCGCCTCAAACCGAAATCTCCCTGCCGTGCGTTGTTTTCCCGCGACTCATTATTCTCTGCCCTGAATATGGAACTGGAGCGATGGCTGTCTCTCAGGCAAATGTTTGATTTTCTGAAGTGAGAGCTGTTCTGTTTCAGAGGTGACCTTTTTTTAATGGGCCACACAGTAACGCACAAAAACTGCCAATCAATTATACATGCTGAGCTGCTGCTTTTCTCTCCAGGCAATCAGCAAAGTAAACTAGTTTTCCTGCAGCATCAAACTTTTCTGCACACGCGGGAATGAGTGTTATTGTTGTGCGGCCAGCTCTCATATCCCACAATTCAGCTGTCACCTTCACCAAAAAGTCTCCAATCAGACAGGATCTGCAAATCGTGGAGAATGATTGAGGCCTCAGAGGTTTGAAGGCGCAGTGCGTCGTAGCTGCAGGGCTCTCTCTTAATGATAGGGTGAAACGTTTGGGAAGGACTCGCAATAGAGCCGACACTCCTGCAGTGGAAGAAGCAAGATGAGGTGGTTCGGGCATCCAACTCCTGGGTGGGTGTTCCAGGAGGAGGCCCGGGGTTAGACCCAGTTAGGCTGTCCACTGTTAACTGAGAGGTTGAAGGATAATCGGGGCTTTTTTACTGCTTTGAATAAAGCACAGGTTCAAAACTTTGGCACAAGCTTGCAGACAAATAAATGCAGTGATCAGGAGCAGTTTGTTCCAGCTCAGCAGTCGCCAATCAAACAAAAACCTTCTCATCTGGAAAGGATGATGCATTCCTAAATTACATCTAAACTGGACGACTTCACTCCTGTGTTTGCAGCCTTGCACTGTTACAGAATCCAGTTTAAAGCGGCGCCGTTTGTGTTTAAAGCCGGTCTCTCACCTGCATGTGTGGTAGATACGCCGTGTCCACATATTCCCTCAATATCATTAAGGTCTGAATGTCAGTCAGTCGTCATCATCTTTGCTGTTGCCCCGCCTCTCTGGAATGACCTAAACAACCTCAGACGAACAACCTCAGCGACTGTTTCCAAATCTAAGCGTTTGGAAACGGCTGATTTCTGTGAAGGTGTGTACCGTCAGTTTTTTAGGAACAGGTTTATTCTGTTTTAGTGTAGCGCACTTTGGTTTTAAACGTTCTGTAGAAATCAAGTTTGCTTACTTGGCTCTCTTGACTGGGAATGCCCACGTGCCCCCACGGATGAGCTGGGAAGAAGGAGGCCTGTGTATCTCTGATGAGGATGCTGCCCATGACCCTGCAGACAAGTCATTAGCTTTAAACTGGACTAAAAGTGGTGTTAAATGGTAAATGGACTGATTCTTATATAGCACTTTTCTAGTGTTAGACTTCAGCTCTAGACTAATCCACAGGATTTCTGACAGGTCTGGTTGCTTATCATTCAGTCGCCATCTTTTCCTCGTACATGTGTGCTTGAGGTGTTGATCCACCTCATCCTCTGTTCACATCCTGCTGCTGTCTGCTGTGATCCTCGGGATGATTTTAAGCTGTCAAATCCACTCTGAGAACCAGCTGGACGACAACATTCGACAACACAGACTCCATCAAACCCGGCCAACACATGAAGCATGTCGTAGCCTTGTCAGGATTAAAGCGGCAGCGTCACCGTTTTTTACGCGAGCTGTATCTGACACTATGCTTCCTGCTTTCTTTAGAGTTTAGAGAGGCTCATATTGAACCAAGGGACAAACTGGTTTACGCCACAATTTTTGTTTCTCTAAGAAATCTGCCGATACGCCTGTTTTTCATCTGCAAAGTGGGAGGAGCTAATTCAGGCTCTCCTGTTTGCAGCATTAGAGACTCTGGTAGAAAATTATCGTTTGACTCTGGAGCTGATACAAGCAACAGAGATTCACAGACTCCAGATTCAATAATCAGTTGATAATTTTTGGTTCTGTGGTATTTAAGATTCTGCTGGTTTCACAGTGAGCGTTAATATTTATGCTTCATAGCAGTTTAACGCAGCTCATTGTTCTGTCCGCGATACAGAGAATATAAAACATTTTGAATTTAATCATAAAATAAAATAAAAACAGCTAAAATATTAAATGATCTTCTCTCAGATTGGATTAACTAGACTCAAAGTATTTGTCTCACGGCTGCAGAACTGATCCTTAGTGTCACATTGTTATTGCTGCTGTTTGTAGTCCAAGTTAACAGGTGTCATCATCTGTCAACATCTGCCTTGTTGGTGTTAATGAAGCTTTCAAAGAAACTCTAGTCGGACTTATCTTTAATCAAATGATTGTGTCTCCAGGTTAAAGCACGTCTCTGTAAAAGTAAAGTTTTTTTCTGTTATTAATAATTAAACTGAAAAAACTGACAAAAAAACTGTCAAAATAAAGGAAATATAACAAAACCCAGAAAATGTTCACCAAACAAAAGACTAAATAAAAAATAAATAAAAAACTAAATCACCAAAAACCCCACCCTCCTCTCCACAGAGCAGGAGCACGACACACACCCCGGAAACAAAGGAGCGCTCTGGTAGGCCACACCCACACAGAGTCAACGTCACAGCAGCACAGAAACCTCACAGCAGTTGTAAGGTCTGTGTTTCCCAGTAATGTTGGACCTGTTGAATAAAGTTAGTTGATGATTAATTCAATTCAGTTTTATTTACACAGCGCCAAATCACAACAACAGTCGCCTCAAGGTGCTTTATACTGTAAGGAAGAGCCTACAATAATACATACAGAGAAAAACCCAACAAACCCCCTGTGAGCAAGCAGGCGACTGTGGGAAGGAAAAACTCCCTTCTAACAGGAAGAATCAGGGAGGGGCGGGGCCATCTGCTGCGACCGGTTGAGGAGAGAGAAGGAAGACAGGATAAAGACATGCTGTGGAAGAGAGACAGAGATTAATAACAGGTATGATTCAGTGCACAGAGGTCTAATTATTAATTATATTTTCATGCCGATATTACATCCACACTCGATAGACTCCACAGCGCCCCTGGTGGCTGATAATTTTCAGAGTAGGTGTTTGAAAAAAGACTCGACTGTGTGTGACTTTCAGGTGTAATTTCAGCAGGAGACTCAAAACCACCAATCATGCAGCATTAAGAAAGACAGTGTAGAGAAGCTGAAAACATGATTTATGACCTCAGTCGGGCTATTGTTGAGTTCCAGATCAGTTTTTGCAAAATTCACCACCTATAATCGAACATTTTTGGCAGAACTGTGTTTTGTGATGTGCACATGAAGATGAAAGGTCAAAATCCTGACCGTGCTTTTAATTATAACCAGCGACATTAAAACCAGTTACCAGCTCTCAGGTGTATTTGTGCCAAAAGTTCACCTGAAGCTCATTAATCAGCTGAAGAATCCAAAGACGGGATAAAAAAAGACGTGTCCTTCGTTACAAAGTGACAGGCAGAGAAAAAATACTTGAGTTAGTAAATGGAGCAGCGAGGGCAGGTTTTTATGAAAGGAAACAAATCTGTGCCTGCGTGTCACCTCATCATAACTCCATTTTCCCTCCAGCTTTTATTCCTTCCTAAACATTTCTCTTATCGTATCTGAGCAGAGTCCTGGGACAGAGCAAGATTTATTGCTTTCACAGTCTTTCATTCCTGCTCTCCTCCTCAATGTATTGTTGGGTAAACGTGGAAGAGTAGCGACTCTGAACCCTCACACGAGGAGTTTGGGAAGCGGTTTTGCTTTTGCAGAAATTGTTAGCATGATCTGATTCATTCAAGCTGATGAGGCGTGTGCGCAGGTTTTATAGATCATCGTCATTAGAGGCGTAATTTGATTTGGTATTTAGTGGGAAAGGAAGCCTTCTCATCATGTTGTAATGCAAACGATACGCTGTCATCATCTTCTGGGGCCTCATGAGTGTCGGATGGGGGCGCGCAGCACAATTTGTGTTGGATCTCAGATTGCGTTAGATTTCGGCCTTCAGTGATGTGTGAAAACTGTAATTACTCGGTTTCATATGTTGAAGGTAGGCGTGGGCAATATAACCTCAAAATTATATCAGCATGACATCATTGCATCGTTTATTCATTTAATAATGGTGTTGTAAACCATGCAAAGATATACCCAGGGTTAGTATGGATGGTGTGTTATGGCGCAGTCCTAGTTGCAGGACTCTGGCTGGACTGTCGGAGAGCCTTCATGTACTGGAAAGGTCCCGTCCGGCCATGAGCTGGGAGTGAATGCACAAGCATGAGTGCTGACAACGACGTCGACCGCTTACGTAGGTTACATCATCGCTCTACAGAGATTCAGCGCAGAAGTCTAAATCAGGCCTGAGAGTTTTTTCCACCACGCATGAACCAGTGTGACAAAGAAAGGGCTAACAAGACCCAGAGCTCCCAGTTCATGCTGTTCTCAGTACTTTAGAGTAAAGAACCCCAACGATCAAATGATCCCCGTGAAGAAGCACGTGGCAACTTTGGGGAGGAAGAACTCCCTTTTAATAGGAACACACCTCATTCAGAACAAGAGGATTTATTCAGTTTGACAGGAACTTGGACATGATAAGATTAACGTTGTAATACCAACCCAAAATATGACCGCTGGTCACGCTGAGCAACCGAAGGATCTTGGCTTGTGTTTGCTTGGTTGGTGCGTTTTCTTCTTCCTGCTTTCTAACAAACTCTGCCGGTTTTCTATGTTTCTCGCTCTTCTTTGGACCTTTGACGTCTTTAATTCTGCCCGCAGCACGTGGAGAGTCAGAATCCAAAGTAAATCCTGCTGTTGGATCTGCCGTAAATTGCTCGGGATCATCAGGTCGGCCGACGGAATACAAACCTTCACCTGAACTCGAGCGGAGGAATTACCGCCTCCCACACACCTCAAACCTCATTTTATTCACTCAGCCCACAAATCCAGGCTTGTATCCAGGTGAAGGAGGAAATCCCGATGTCGTGCTGAGGAGCTTAGTTCTGCTCATCCCCTCCCCGGGCTGGGAGTGATGCTGTGCCTGCACTGCAAAGATCAACATGACCGAGCA